TAAAGTCATCCATTCGAAAATTTTACGGACGCCATCACGGGTTGCGTTATGGAATATGTGTTTCGCAGATGATGACGGATAGTTCCAATTGTCGTAACTATATCCCGTCCTCTTTTTCTAAAATATGAACTACCGAATAAGACTTTGTATCTACATGAGCAACACGACGAGTGCCACATGTGAAGCAGAATGATTACCCTTTCGGAGCACCGGAGACCTCCCCCTGTTTTGGTGGGGTTCGTGTTGCTCACTCTTTAGTTTTCTATATTGTGTTTTGTAGACTGTTGCATGTCTTCCGTTCATTTTATTTTTAATTTTAAGTTTGATTTGACGATATGACTGTATATACTAGAAATACCCAGATATTAATTTTTTATGGCTTCTCTATCTTGAGTTTTCTGTACATCGTTTTTCTGACTTATTTTTTTTTCTTTTACATTAGCAAAAGCAACTGATCATAATGTATCTGCCATACTAATAGCATGTAATAGGCTTTAATTTAGAACACACTTCGAACGCATATCGAAGGTGTTGTAAAATTTCAAAAACTCTTGCCATGTATTTTCCTATCAATTAAATTGAGAATGGAAATGGGGAATGTGTCAAAGAAACAACAACTCGACCAAATAGCATACAACAGCCCAAGGCCACCAATGGGTCTTCAACACAGTGAGAAAAGTCCAGTATCGCCAATTACTATAGATTGTTTGGTTTTATTCATAGCATTCCGCATGCAGAGAAATTTCGTTATCTCCAAGCTGTGTCCTCTGATCTCGTATATCTTATGCCAACACTTAGTCGTGTTCAGTATATGGTGGGCGTCCAGGACGGGCCAAATAATGTGTACCTACGACTGATTTCGCAAGAGAAAAGACCAGACGGTTTACATTTTACACCAGCAAATTATTTGTTGAAACTAATGCAGTGAATGTTTTTATTTGTTAAAAATATATTCGTTTATTCGAAATCAAGTTCAACCTCAGTTAGATTTTTTTAATTAAAAATAGAGCATTAAGATGCAGTTCTGATGGATATAAGTCACTTCAAACATTACATTGGAAAATTGTGTCACCATCAAAGTCATGTTTTTTCTCTGACTGTTAATGACGTCTTTACACTATATCCATTGGATGTTGGATGTGTACTGATTGATATTATAGTCTTAGATACATGATTTTTTTTTTATATGTTTTTATCAGCTTTGAACTAGCTCTCAGAAACTACGAGTACTCTCATATATGTACTTATAGTGTCCTTTTTTTGTTGTTAGGGATGAGGGACGGATAAATACCTGCTACGACTGGTCGGTGTTTTATATGATGATTTTTTTATCCATCTGATTCAAAAAACAAATTCTCTGAAACTGACATTATCAAGATGCTTGATTTTTTAATTGAAAACATATTTGTTACGTTTGGAGGACGTGTTTTTCAACGGCATTCACATGGAAACCAACTGTGCCTCTCTTCTTGCCGACTTGTTCCTATATCTTTTTAGGCTGATTTTATACAGGAACTCTAATGAACAGGAAGAAAGGAAAGAGGTTAGCAGTATCCTTTAACTTTACTTTCCGCTATATAGATGATGTTCCCTCACTAAATAATCCAACATTTGGTGACTATGTTGAACGCATCTATCCCATTGAACTTGAGATAAAGGATACAACTGATATACTTAAGTCTGACTCATATCTTGACTTACATCTAGAAATTGACAATAAGGGTCGGTTGAAAACAAAACTTTACGACAAAAGAGATGATTTCAGCTTCCCAATTGTGAACTTTCCATTTCTATGTAGCAACATTCAAGCAGCGCCTGCATGCGGAGTATATATTTCCCAGTTGATACGACATTCCAGGGCTTGTACTTCCTATCATGACCTCCTTAATAGAGGTTTGCTGCTCACAAGGAAGCTATTAAACCAAGAGTTCCAAGTGGTGAAGTTGAAATCATCCCTTTTTTTTACGGATACCATCACGAGTTGGTTGACCGTTTTGGTATATCCGTTTCACAGATGATAGCGGAAAAGTTTCAAATGTCGTAACTACAATCCCGTCCCCTTTTCCCAAATGTGACCTACCGAATTAGACTTATTACCGGGTTTGTACTTACATGAGCAACACGACGGGTGCCACATGTGGAGCAGGATCTGCTTACCCTTCCGGAGCACCTGAGATCCCCTCTAGATTTTGGTTGGGTTCGTGTTGCTCAGTCTTTAGTTTTCTATATTGTGTTTTGTGTACTGTTGTTTGTCTGTTGGTCTTTTTTTCTTTTTAGCCATGATGTTGTCAGTTTATTTTCGACCTATGAGTTTGAATTTCCCTTTGATATATTTAGCCCATCTTTTAAGCCTTTTTCAACTGATTTTTATAGTTTGTTCTTATTTTATGCTGTACACCACTTTCCCAGGTTAAAGGAGGGTTGAGCACTCACAAACATGTTTAACCCCGCCACAATCTGTATGTGCCTGTCCCAAGTCAGAAGCCTGTTGATCAGTGGTTGCCGTTAGTTCTGTCATATTTGTTTTTCGTAAATAGTTTTGTTATAAATTAGGTCGTTATTTTTCTCAATTGAATTGTTTCATATTCTTCATGTCGGGGCCTTTTATAGCTGACTATACGGTATAGGTTTTTCTCATTGTTAAAGGCCTGGAGATATATACAGATTAACATGTAAAAACATAACAAATCTCAAGATTAGAAGTACTAATTTTATATAATTACCTGTCGTAACGTGTTGAATATTTGAAGCACACTGCTTTAAGAAAACACAAAACACAAAAATACACGGATGTGCTGATTAAAATTGCTCATCGTAGTGAGCATGGAATGATTCAGGAACGTTTTTAGTACGCCTGGATGCTACTGACGATAGTGATACCCAAAAAACTTGGAGGAACTGGGGAATCTGGTGAAATACGGTACATCGCCATGAAATATTCCTCATTTATGTGTCCTGTCGATATGGAGAGTGAATCCATGGTACACTAATGATCCACCCCCTGAAATGGGTTATTTGCTCAGTCCAGAAGTTCTGTGTCATCATTTCAAAATGGAATGATAATGTTCTGTCTTTAAATCCTATTTAATGGAACCTTTAAATTCGAGCATGACATACATGTATATAATAGTTGACTAGTTTTGAAAGATTTGAATTCAAAGAGTATTTTTAAGATATTGACAATTCATAGTAGAGCTACTTGACTGACCTGGAGTCATGGGCCTCTGGCGAATCAGTTACAGGATATGATAGTTTTACATATATGCCTTGCTGAGATTGAGAATACTAATTGGCATCTGTTTATTTTTTGAACAAAGGTAATTTAGATAATGGCAAATTAAATAATTATCCATATTATATATTAGAAAATGTATATAGGTCATAGGTGACCTCCGGCACTCATTTCAAATGCATATGGGAGGTATAATTTTATTTAAAATATTTATTTGCAGTACATTGGGGCATATATATCTATTGACAAATGAAAGATGCAGGTACATTAGATACTTACAAATATGTACATAACAAAACATGACACATTTCAAATTTGAGGATAAACTATTTGTTTTTAATTAAGAATCATAGTTCTAATGTAAAGATTTCTTGGGGGAATACAAAAATAATATTAATGCTTAGTTCTTTTTTTATATGGTACAGATTCGTCATTGCGACATATCTAACTTTTTTTTTACTTTGATAAGGGACCAGGATGGTAAAGGCTGTTTTTGGCCCAATCTTAAAATTTCATTTAAATGTCATGTTGTAATTCTATACCACAGACTATCTGAGAATGGTGATATTTTGAGTCTGTCATGTACATTGTATTGCCTTGCAACGACTTCAACTTTGGTGATAAACTCAACAAGTATGCTCATTAAAAAGCTTTAATATATCTACACTAACAGGAATTTATACGTGTATATACTGTACAAAAATCTTTATTATTGCTCCATAGCAACTAAAATTTGTCCATAGCTACGACAATTCATTTTTTGTTTACCAGGATTTAGCTTTCAAATTGAATATTTTGCATCGAAGCAGATAATTTAAGACACATTTTGTAAAATATACCAAACTCCGAAAAAAAAATGTCAATAATAAAAATCAATGCTAAATGTTCTTTACGGACAAAAATACAGACAAACAGTTTAATATTCAAGAGAAATTGGTAACGCAGTGTACTTCAAGGATACACTATTGAATAAGATAATCAAATTGCTCGTATGGTGAAATCGTTCATTAGATGTACACAATATATATTCTTTAAATCATATTAATTAATGATTTTATGATATATACTGATTTTATCTCTCGTGTTAGAATGATTTCTTCAAAGTTTTCTTATGCTTGAGGTGTATACTCTTGGTTTTTTTTTTCTCTCTTTGTTTTTTGTGTTTTTTGTTTTTTTTTACAGTTATGGCTATATACTACTTCACTTTCTTTCTTTCGACTATTTTGTTAATCAGCATTGTTATCCAAACCACTATCCAACCGAACTATTTGACCTCTTCATACATTATTTCGACCAAAATAGTAAATTAATACATATAGATATTTGGTCATCTCTCGCTCGGCAGTTAGGTGGTAAATTGGGGCGTCATTGTTTGCTGTACATGATGTATAAATAGACAGTCACAACAGATTGGATAGGAGGCGATCTGATCTAATGTGGATTTAAGCAATTATAGGTTACCATACGGCTTTGACCAATGAGCAAAAATACCCATAGGAATTTGTTTTGCAAGTGTTGTTTTCAATCAGAAAATTTAAAGAACCATCATATTAAAATGAAGAGTTTTATTTTCAGTTATCCACATATTTTCAAAATGGCCCATATAACCTTTAAGATCCTTTAAGTATCGGAGTTGTATCTTTTATCTTTCAATTGTGTATAAACTTCTTCCATTCATGACCTCATTCATTCTTGTTTATCCTTTATTTTATAAAACAAGCGTCTTCCTCCACAGATTTTCCGCATGCTCCCCATATAATGCCCCTATAGGTAATTGAGGTCCAAGGGAGAAAGGAATGTATAAACTGCAGCGTTCAAGTCAGTATAGTTGAATATTGTAAACAATGACTTCTTAATTATATCATTTAATTGAAATTCGGGCTAATAATACGTACTGTTGAAAAATATATCAACAAACAATGCATTTCTAATTTTAATATTTCTAAATTTTATGAATATAGTTTTGTTTACTGTAGGCTGATGTTGTCCGGTTGCCTAGTATATATATAAAAAATAAATGGAACATTAAACTGGTGATGTGTTTGTTCCTTCACAATTTTGAGAATGTTTTATCCTATTTTAAATGCGTTTAATGCAACTCTACTAATTTTATCGCAACTTGTAAATTATATAAATGTTTCTAAAATCTACTTTCGTTTTAATCCGGAAATGAAGAACTGATTACTGGCCTTTCCGAATTGAGGTATCAAACAGGGTGTAATGAATAATTTTATTATGAGGTATGGTTTTTTGTCTGAGTCAGATTTTTTTTTTTAGTTTTTCAACGCTATCAATCAAATGGTTTTTTTTCAAAATTTTAACACTATAAGGTATGGGGAAAATCTCAGAATATTTTTTTTGTCATCTGCTTGATCACAATATTTTTTTTCATCAAATTGGGGATCAGAATATTTTTTTAGGGAAAAACCATAACCCCCGCCCCTTGAAGTTAAATGGTCGTTCCCTAAATGATTGAAAATTGAAAGGGGGGGGGGCGAAATAAAGTATACGTTATTCTTCACAATTCACAATCATTTATCGCTAGAAATTGATGCAGGTGACTTTCGATTTGGAAAATTATAACTTAAACTTCGAATGTTTTTTTTTAATAGCAGCACCTACATGTTTAGCAAAAGGAACATACTAATTAAGTCATGTCAGTGGGTAGTTATTATATTCCACCAAGCCTTAGAAGCAGACCAGGCATCAATCAGATTTTGAAATTTTACCCATATTATAGAGAAACAGAGAATGAGTATAAAAGTTATCTAGAGAAAGAAGCTGCTTTTAAATCAAAGTATCAAGCTGAGGTAAGTTAAATTTTTCATGATATCAGAAAGAAGAAAAAATTATATTTACGATAGGAATGCATGCAATACATTCTCAAAGGAGGAGGTTAATATTATAGAGGCATGATTATTTTGTCCCTTAAATTGGAAAAAATACAAATACTATTCAAGCCTTTCAAATTACTTCAATTGTATTGATAAATGAACATGATCATCTTCTTTTTATATATGTTGATATAATCTGGAAATTCAATTCAGACAAGTTATTTGTGCCGGGGAAGCGTTAAAATGGGAAACGAAAACAAAACGCAATGAGAGAAACGAAAAAAAAAAAAATCAAAACGAAACGAAACGAAACGAAACGAAACGAAACGAAACGAAACAAAACAAAACACAGTGAAAAATTCATAAAACGAAAGGAAACGAAATATATGGCGTTCTAAACCGAGTGGTCTTGATTGTGTTGCACCAACAATAATAGATAGATATACGAATAATGGGTTTCCCCACTAACTTTACTATTCAACCAGACTGAGTCACTCAGTGTTGGAAATTTTAATTACCATGCGTTAGGGAACACTTACATGTAACGCCTGTGTTAAAACAAGGCAGCTCTCCATCTGTGGTTCTAACTTTCGTTCCATATCCCCCGCTTGTGTTTTGTGTAAGGCGATAATATTATTTAAACATTTGCATCACATAACAACAAAGCACCAGTCTGGATTCCAGGCTAAAGCTTAAGGTTCCACAGGCTATCAATAATTGCTTGAATTTTATTACACAGTTATCTGTAATTTGGAAATAAGACGAGATGTAAGATTCATTTTTGTGCTATGTTAAACTCTGAAATTGGAAAAAGTTTGGCATAAGGGCTTGCTTTTATATAAATTAAGAACCCTAAGATAAGACAACTTTCGAGTTCGTTGCATTTCTGTCAAAAATTCAGGTTTAGTGAACATCGTTCGTGCGTTTAGGGAAAAAAAGTAGTATTACATTTCCCAGCTTTTGGTTGGCCTTTTGTTTACCCAAGGCAGGTGAAGGAAACCAACTTAGGAGCGCTGTGATTGGATGTAAGGGTACAATATATTTTTTTAAACGATCGCAAACAATTTGCGTTCGTATATTGCTATCACTTCGTCGTCGTTGTCGTCGTCGTCGTCGTCGTCGTCGTCCGAAGACATTTGGTTTCCGGACAATAACTTTAGTATAAGTGAACGGATCTCTATGAAATTTAATCACAAGGTGCAATACCACAAAAGGAAGGTTGGGATTGATTTTTGGGGTTATGGTCCAAACTGTTTAGGAATTAGGGGTAAAAAAGGGGCCAAAAAAGGCATTTTTCTAGTTTCCGGACAATAACTTGTGTATAAGTGTATGGATCTCTCTGAAACTGTACCACAAGGCTCCATACCACAAAGAGAAGGTTGGGATTGACTTAGGGGGTTATGGCCGAAACCGCTCAGGAATTAAGGGCAAAAAAAGGGGGAAAAACCAAGGTTTTTCTGGTTAATGTACAATTACTTAAGTATTAGTCTATGGATCTCTCTGATATTGAACCACAAGGTTCCACACCACAAGGGAAGGTTGGGTTTGATTTTGGCTGTTATGGCTCAAATCGTTCAGGAATAAGGGGACAAAAAAGGGGGGAAGCAATGTTTTTCTGGTTTCCAGACAATTTCTTAAGTATTAGTTGATGGATCTCTATGAAATTGTACCGCAAGGTTCCATACCACACACGGAAGATTGGGGTCGATTTTGGGGGTTATGGCTTTAATCGTTAAGAAACTAGAGGCCAAATAGGGGCCAAAACAAGACTTTTCTAATACTGGCTAAGCTGGTTCCAACATAAATTATTTCTGATCTATGTAAAGAAACAACAAATACTGATATGGCAGGAGATACACACCAAACAGGGTGTGTAAATTATTATATATAGTTTGTAAACAGATTTACTAAGTATTGCGCAACAGCAAAGTATTGCACAACAGCAAGAAATCTTCAATTGAAAATAAATACAAAATCAACCAAATTCAATGATGATTAATTTAAAGTCTTGAATTGTTGGGGGTTTTTATCGTGTATTACTATATTGGATATTGGGGCCCCATTTTTGAATAGGTCTACATTGAGGTCCAAAGGGTCCAAAATTAGACTTTGTTTGATTTCATCAAAAACTGAATTCTTGTGGTTCTATGGTATGCTGAATCTAACTGTGTATTCAGATTTTTAATTTTGGGCCCTGTTTTCAAATTAGTCCATATTAAGGTCCAAAGGGTCCAAAATTAAACTTTGTTTGATTTCATCTAAAACTGAATTCATGGTTTTTTTTTATATGTTGAATCTAACCATGGAATTATATTTTGGATATTGGACCATTAGGTAGATTAAATGTCCCATTTCAAATTTTTAAGTTCTTTGACCACATTTATTCTGTGTCAGAAATCTATAATGTGTCAAATATTTAATCACTATCCAAATTCAGAGCTGAATATTGTGTCCATACTTGGCCCAACTGTTCAGAGTTCGACCTCTGCGGTCGTATCCAGCTGTTCCAGGCGGAGCGCATTTTTTGTTTATCTATGAATAACTGCAGTGTTTATATTTACAATATAAATTTTGAAAACCATTGAATATTTTCTTGACATTTATTCGAAAAGACTTCCAATATTTCATAAATTTGATGAAAAATGACGGTGGGCATGGATAACATAAACAAGCTCCGTTGGAAGATGGTCATGATACTATTTGACTTCAATTTCTAAAACAGAATAATAAAGTACTAATACCACACATAACTGTTTTGTCCAGGTTTTTTTATTATAAAATGTGGTAAATTTAGAAAATGTTAGTATTGTAGCCTATGGCAGAATAAATACTACCGTTTTCCCTTTAGGGGCATCGTCACTTCCGTTACCATGTTGAGCGAGTGGGTGAAAAAAATATGCTATATTGCACGAATTTTTCGGCAAATTAAATTCTTATAATTGCTCATCAGCACTGCTGTCATCAGGGAATTATGATTAAGTACCTACGGAACAAACATTATTTCTAGTTTATCCTGCATAATGACGACCACGAAGACGCTTGATGAACTTTAATATTGCAGGGATACAGGCGATCCCCTCTATCTGGTAAATGACGTCTTAAAGCCGTGCAAAATGGACGAATTTTTCCGGTAAAGATATAACTCAAAAGTGGTCTATTAATGTAATAAGAATCTGTAAATCACCGACGATCGTAAACAAATTCCCCGTTTCCATTCTCTATTCTTTAAGATTTTTTTTTTTCGCATGAAGAAGGTATACATTTAAAAAAAAAATGTTCGCCAGTGATGCATTACTATTCGTTGCTATAGACGAATTGAATCATATGAAAGCTGCATATATGCTTACCACGCTGAGCTATGCAATTTGATTCGGCTTAAACAGAATCACTTTTATTTACGAGGAGAATTGCTGAAAACCGTACGGTTAATTTTGAGGTCCAGACAATGCAGTGAAAGATGGGCCTGAACCTCCAGAGTAGAACTGTCAATTCATGGAGAAATCGTATTAATCAAATTGTTACAAAAGCATGTGGAAGTCTAAACATCCTAAGAATGTTGAAGTATCATGTGTCTAGAAAAGTTCTGATTAATCTATACTTCTCTTTTATACGACCTGTTTAATAAGAGTATGCAGATATCTGTACTCTTCAGGAGGACAACTTGTTAAAGGTTGCTGAAGTGGCTGCAAGTAGGATTATAACGGGACTCAGAGTAAATTGCCCAAAATCTAAGATGTGAACCTTTATATACACAGTGTTGGAATTGTACTGTACGGTTTTATTTTAAATACTTTTCGGTCATTCGGGAGACTATGAAGCGGAGCTGCGCCATTCGAAAGAATAACCAGTTGCTTATTGTAAAGTTTGATGTAAAGTTATGACACATGCCCCGTTTCCATTCTCAATTTTATTGACTTATGACTTATATGACTTATTGGTTTTGCTCAGTTCTTCTTCTTCTTCTTCTTCTTCTTCTTCTTCTTCTTCTTCTTCTTCTTCTTCTTCTTCTTCTTCTTCTTCTTCTTCTTCCGCCGCTTTTAAATTTGAACTTGTCCGCACCCGTTCTCCAAAACCCCTTGTCAGATAAACTTAGGGTTTCACAATATGTTAGACTAACATGTCTAGTGGTGCAATCAGGGTTTTGTTTGTGCAATTGGGTTTATAAAGGGGTACTTTGAGGGGCAAAAAGAAAGGAGGGTTTTACTATAGAACCCTATGGGATTTTACTTTTAAAAATTTTCAAATGATTATAAATTGAAAACCGTTTGTGATAGACACAATCTTTTTAATTGAAAATGTTCTAAATGATAAAGCACATTAAATGAAATACAGGGTTAGTCCCCAGGGGTCACCCCACCCCCTGCCATTTAAGAAAGTTCTTATATCTTGTAAGTGGTCAAGATCCCCACCCCTAAACTATACATATTCTGGTTTGTCATGCTAAGATGGTTTGAATGATATACAGGGTTAGTCCCCAGGGGTCATCCCGACCCCCTGCCATTTGAGAAAGTTCTAATATCTTGTAAATGGTCGAGATCCCCACCCCTAAACCATATATATTCTGGTTTGTCATAATAAAGCACATCAAATGAAATACAGGGTTAGTCCCCAGGGGTCACCCCACCCCCTGCCATTTAAGAAAGTTCTAATATCTTTGTAAGTGGTCAAGATCCCCACCCTTAAACCATATATATTCTGGTTTGTCATGCTAAGATGGTTTGAATGATATACAGGGTTAGTCCCCAGGGGTCATTCCGACCCCCTGCCATTTGAGAAAGTTCTAATATCTTGTAAATGGTCGAGATCCCCACCCCTAAACCATATATATTCTGGTTTGTCATGATAAAGCACATCAAATGAAATACAGGGTTAGTCCCCAGGGGTCACCCCCACCCCCTGCCATTTAAGAAAGTTCTAATATCTTGTAAGTGGTCGCGATCCCCACCCCTAAACCATATATATTCTGGTTTGTCATA